TATTAAAACAACACACACACACACACACACACACCTGTCTCTTATACACATCTAGATGTGTATATCTCACGTGCTACGGACAGTCGACAGTCGACACGGGCGATGGCTGGCACGAGAGAGAGAGAGAGAGAGAGAGAGAGAGAGAGAGAGAGAGAGAGAGAGAGAGAGAGAGAGAGACTGTCGATGCGTGGGGGGATTTGCCCGTTTGAAGTGCAAGGGGCTGAGGGTACTCTGCGCGATGGCATGTCAGGAAGCGCAACGAAGTGTCCGTGAACTGCCACGTCGCCGAAGGCCATCGCCGTCAGAGCTCAAAGCTGTACAAGGGGCGGAGGGTAGTCGGCGCGTGGGGGGATTTGCCCGTTCGGGAATACGGGAAAAGTTCTTGACTCACTGGGCCCACGACGGTCCTGTGTGCCAATCCATGGCGCGTGGGGGGATTTGCCCGTTCGGGGAAACAGCGAAGTTCTTGACGCGCTGGGCCCACGACGGTCCTGTGTGGCAGTCCATGCCACACAAACGGCAACTGTACAACAGGGTTCGGTCCCGGTAGTGTCCGTGCTACTGGACCGTTTTCCTATCCCAACGAAACCCGCCCAACGAAAACCGCCTAAACCCACGTGAATGCTGCGAACGATACGGGCCAGTGGGTCCCGATTTTCTATACGGGCCAGTGGGGTCCCAATTTTCTTTTACGGCCCGACTGGAGCGGCCCCACCTTTTTCGTTACTTTTACGGATTTGTCTTCCGTATGTAGTGTCGGATCAGACCCTAATGTCTCCCTCCGCACCAAGCAAAAGAAGAAGTGAGGGCAATGCTTTTGGCTGGCGATTCCAGCCATTCCGGTCCGGTACCTGACCTCTGAGTTGCCACTGGTGCTATGGTATGTATGGGGTCCCGACGACTCCCGAGCTTCGTCCTTCGGCTGCAGGCAGTGTGGCGGCCCCGAAACGAATCCACCGAGGTGCTCCCTCTATTTATCCACGGTGGTCCTCCCTCGCTTGGCTACTGCGTTACCCATCTTACTAGATTTCAAGAGGGGAAAGGTACTGGTGGTTTAGANCTCCCTCTATTTATCCACGGTGGTCCTCCCTCGCTTGGCTACTGCGTTACCCATCTTACTAGATTTCAAGAGGGGAAAGGTACTGGTGGTTTAGAAAGGGCTACCGCCCTGGGATATCATGAACTGACCGCCCTGGCAATTCAGAATTGTAGTGTTTCATTCATCTGCTTCCAGTGGAATTCGAACGCCCGTGTTTATTCCAAAGAGTTTAGGGGGTGTACCAACTGAGCTAGTTCCCGTTTCCGTTTCCGTTTCCATTTACGTTCTTATACGTACGTACGTACGTACAGAAAACCTTCCTCGCCCATGCACTGCATGCAGCGAAGGTGATGCACGTACGGGCCGGGCCGCAGCAGTCACCGACGCATAAGAGACAAAGTGGGGCGAGAAAAACAAGGAAAGGACGGGCCGAGAAAAAACGGCGGGGAATTTAGCAAGTCGATAACGTCGGTAATGGCATGGCATTGCATGGCATGCCATCTCTCCGCGGGTGAATGAACTCCTTCCGGCAGCGCCTGGTCAGTGAAACCTGCATTCTTCGCGCAGTGGTCACTTTCGAGAGGTCACCACAACCGCGTGGCGTGACGTGAGTATACCCTTTCTCCGCCCCAAAAGAACACAAACGCAATCTTGTTTATCCCTCGTCCTTGCACGCGCCTCGGAAAATGTGTAACCTTTTTTAACTGTGTCTGTGTGC